AGGCAAATTGTCCGGTTCAGTAAGCAATTGGACTCCCCCCCCCGCCCCCCATCCCCCCCCCCCTAAACATTTTTTTATGTAAAAATGTACATAAAAAATGTAGTAACTAAATAAGAAATAAATAAAACTTCATAAAGTTTAAGGAAATTGAAGAAACTGTTAATACAATATGCACTAACATATATATATATATTTTAAATATTTTTTCACTAAGTCGAGGTCAGTGCCTAATCTAGGCCATTCTGTTACAACTACTTTTTTTTGGCATTAAAACAAAACTGCTATAAGAAATATAAGCAGAAACCCACAACCAAACACACACGGACACGCTCACACACACAAACACACACAAAGTACATTGTAAATAAATGTATAACTGAAATTAATAAATAAACTAAATGTTAAAAATAAAAAAAAATATATCAAAATACACAGAAATAAATACATAGATGAACTAAAATGTGTTTAGAATTCTATAGGTGTCTTTTTAAGAATCACATTAACTTTAACACACACACACACACACATGTACAGCTGTCTTATCTTTATGGGGACTTTCCATACAGAAAATAACCTTTATACTGTACGGACTGTATATTCTATACCCCAACCATATCCTTAAACCCAAGCCTCACAGGAAAGAATCATCATTTTTTATTTTTTAGAACACTTTATTCTGTGTGATTTTTGAGCCAAAGAAATGTTTCAAAATTAACTGCAGACATGAGGGCATGTAGATGTTTGGTCCCCGCAACACAATGAATAATACACATACTCAAGTAGCTCATGCGATAACGAACACAACAGTGCATCAATATAAACCTGACACTTTTTACAGCCTTTAAAGAAATGAATAAATTGATGTTCACATATAAACACACACTTCAGTGCTTGTCCTACTGCTGTTTTACTTGTCCCTCCAAAATGATCCCTCTCTGGCAGCAGGATGTCTTTGTGGCACTGATCATTAGGTAAAACCGTCTTCTCTTCAAATAATCCTGCGTGTGAATGCTAAAAATGTAATGAACTTCACGCTCCATTGTATCTGACATTGCTTAATTAATGGGTGCATTTAAAGTACATAGGCTCTGGTAATTGATTTATATGCATGATTTGCACATACAGCTGTTGGTTCCTGTAGGAAAGTCATCACTCAAAATGTGCACGCTTTTCCTGATGAACTAGAGGTGCTGCTAGCGCATCCTCTGCAGCACTCATTTATTAGCATACACTTTCATTAAGGCTAATACCTTAGATAATAAAAAAAACAAAAGACATCGAGAAGAGACCATCTGTGAAAAATTTACAAACTATGTCTAGAAAAAAAGTCTCAAGGAATAGATAGATAGATGGATAGATAGACTAACTGGCCACTTTATTAGGTACACTTTTCTATTACCGGGTTGGACCCACTTTTGCTTTCAGAACTGCCTTAATCCTTCGTGGCATAGATTCAACAAGCTACTGAAAATATTCCTCAGAGATTTTGGTCCATATTGACATGATAGCATCACAGTTGCTGCAGATTTGTCAGTTGCACATCCATGATGCAAATCTCCCGTTCCACCACATCCCAGGTGCTCTGTTTGATTGAGATCTGGTGACTGTGGAGGCCATTTGAGTACAGTGAACTCATTGTCATGTTCAAGAAACTATTCTGAGATGATTTGCGCTTTATGACATGTGTGTGTTATGGAAGTAACCATCAGAAGATGGGTACACTGTGGTCATAAAGGGATGGACATGGTCAGCAATGCTCAATTGGTACTAATGGGCCTAAAGTGTGCCAAGAAAATATCCTCCACGCCATTACACCACCACCATTCAAGGATGGTTTTCTGCATACCTCGGTTGTAACATTTATTTGTTGGAGTTACTCCTGCCTTTCTATCAGCTCAAACCAGTCTGACCTCCTCTGACCGCTGGCATCAACAAAGCATTTGCGGCCCCATAACTGCCGCTCACTAGATATTTTCTATTTTTCGAACCATTCTCTGTAAACCCTAGAGATGGTTGTGCATGAAAATCCGAGTCGATCAGCTGTTTCAGAAATAAATCCTCAGACCAGCCCGTCCAACAACCATGCCACAGTCGAAGTTACTTAAACCACCTTCCTTCCCCATTCTGATGCTCAGTTGAAAATGCAGCAGATCGTCTTGACTTTGTCTACATGCCTAAATGCATTGAGTTGCTGCCATATTTGCGTTAACGAGCAGTTGGACAGTTGCACCTAATAAAGTAGCCGGTGAGGATAGATAGATAGATAGATAGATAGATAGATAGATAGATAGATAGATAGATAGATAGATAGATAGATAGATAGATAGATAGATAGATAGATAGATAGATAGATAGATAGATAGATAGATAGATAGATAGATAGATAGATAGATAGATATTTAATTTGACTTATTCGTTTCAAACATAATAGTATTACAAATAAAAACAAGTATTCAAACAGAAATAAATTTAATCATAATCCACAAAATGTCTACATATTTTCTAAAAATAAAATACAAATCTAATGAGAACAATTCAAAGTAGAGAAGGATAACATTTATTTTCTTTGTTCCCTTTTACTTCTAATTCCACACTATATTATCCTTTCAAATAATTCATATCTTGAATTTGAATAATATGATCATAATGATCACAGTATTTAGCGCATGCAATGCTCAAAGGATTCATCAATTGGATTGATTGTATTCACAAACAACGATAGATGTCATACTGTAGCTACTGAGGATTTGACGAATACTGAACTACAGTTAGAAATTGATCAACATTTACAAATTTGACTCCAATAGCATTTAAATGAAGCAAATATATTTAAAAATATCATAAATCTTGGTTTAGTTGAAAACATTTTTACATTAAAGAAAAAAAGAAAAAAAACAGGTGATTTTTTTTTATTTTATTTTATAATAAATCCCTTTGAATTCAACTTATAATCCAGCTCAGATCTAAAATTAAACTCATTTATAAGCCGTTTTCAAAACAATTGCTTTGCCAACGCATGTGTGTTGTCTAAATAAAGCATTGTTCAGTCATGTGATTCTATAATTATTGAATGACTGGTGTGTGTGTGTATGTTTTCTTCAGAGATTTGGAGGTCGGTGGCCTCTAACCATTATTTGGAGCTTGGGCAGATCCTCAGCGGAGCTCCGATCAATCTTTTACCTGGGGAACGAGTGCTGCGTATTTCTATCACCATTCTATTGATTTTTCCATGTGCAGAGCCCTTATGTTAGAGAGAGAGGTGTTTTCATGTGGACACCACAGAGAAAACGCAGCCTGCAGCGCACACACATTCATTTATTTATGCTTGCAGACGCCCGTTGGCTCAGACGACTGCAAAATGCACACATCGGCATATTTAGCCGATTTTCTGATCTCACATGCACAAGTCCAAAAGGCCTAACATATGAGCAGAAACTTTTAAATTCAGAAAGTGAATGCCCTTTCTTTCATTCACTTCTTGTCCCACGGATTCACTTGTGCGTAGTGGTGATTTTCTGTTATATTCTCTGTTAGTGTTTTTTTTTTTTTTTACTGTGATCAATAAAAGTGTAATGATCCAATATGGCCATGTTACAGCATGACTTTCCTCTTTGTGCAGAACAACTTGATTTAACACAGTTATTTTTTTGGTTCTGCTAAAATGAGAACCGTCAGAATTTTCTTAATCTTTATCCTCTATCATATGGATGTCTTTGGATCTAATGTATCCAAGCAGGTGTTTTGAATAAGATTTAGCAACATCAAATTAAAACTGACACAATTATATATACAGTTGAAGAATTATTAGCCCTCCTTTGAATTTTTTTCTTTCTTTTTTAAATATTTCCCAAATGATGTTCAACAGAGCAAGGGAATTTTCACAGTATGTCTGATAATATTTTTTCTTTTGGATAAAAGTCTTATTTGTTTTATTTCAGCTGGAATAAAAGCAGTTTTTCATTTTGAACTAGATTAATTAGGTTAACTAGGCAGGTTAGGGTAATTAGGCAAGTTATTGAATAATGTTGGTTTGCTCTGTAGACAGTCGGAAAAAAATTAGCTTATAGGGGCTAATAATGTCCATAAAATTGTTTT